AGACAATGAGAGGGGGACACTGGGGGATTGGAGCAGTAATCAGCTTTCTGTGGAAGTCAACTGCTGTCTCTTTCAATGGCTACCAATGAGGTCTTTGATGAATCGTTTTGTTTCCTTGAGTTCTTTCAAAATCTCCATCTTGCACCCCTGAAGTCCTTTAGCAGATGGTATTAAGTCAGGTGCTCTGTGCCGCTGCCTGAAAACGTTTCCCTTTTCCTCCTGAAGGCCAACCTTGATCTAAATGCACAACATCTGTTTGTGTTTTGATTAAACTCACCTGGCTTTTAAAATCTGCAACTTATGTATTATTTATTCATGGTTTAAATCTGTTTCATTAAGTCTGTTGTTTCATTTGTACCCTTTAAATTACTATGGATGTGAAGCTTAATACTCAGATAAAATTGATTCCATAAATATTTGGTAATGGGCTGTGGCTTTTGGAACCACTTATTAAGTCTGTTAGCTTATTTCTGCATCACAGGACTCCAGAATGTTGGGGGCAATGACCAAACAATAACACGGCAGAGCAGCAAATGCTCAGAGACCACAAAAGCAAAGCATTCGTACCTCGACCGAAACTGCAGTTCCCTCCTCCATATATTTTTGAAGAAATCGGGAACTATTGTTTTGCCCCAAAAACCAAATACATGGGAATAAGTAGCATGTTCAAAAATCAAAGAAATGTTTAAATAAAAACACCAATGTCAAATATGTCAAATAATGTATTTAAGTCCAATTTCGTTATTTTTTATTTTTCACTATTCTTTTGATTTAAAAACCATAGATGTAGGATTTGTTCAATCTTAACATTGTAATTCATGATTGACGTTTTCCACTGGTAAGGACATCTGTTATTCAAATAATGTCTTGCTTTATTTAAGGTATTTGTGAGTGCAAATTGTCTAAATGCCAGATTGTTTGGGAGTTAAATTGAACATATTTCATTCAGAAAAACAATGGATGACAAGGAAATAGACAAACTAATATATCTAATGTCAACATATCCTATGATCATTGACATGCCACTCACAGTTTTAACTGATATCTGGAAGTGAATGTCTATATATATAGTTATTACTGATTTTGACATTAATTCCCTCTCCCACTTGCGTCAGTGGAATGGTTTTTTTTTTACTTTCAGAGTGATTATTTTATTCCCCTTTAGCCAAATACGTTTGAAATTAGATATAAGAATTAGCATTCAGTGATGATCCATCAGTCAAATTACCTGGAGAAATGTCCCCCTCCTTTGGTTTCTGTTAGACAGAAAGATTGATGTAAATCCATGGAATTATATCCATACATCCATATTCCTGCTGCTTGTCCTGATTGGGGTTTCATAGCGGTCTGGAGATTATCTGAGACAGCATGGGGCACAGGGCGGGGGGTCACCCTGGACGGGATGCCAGTCCANCAGGGCACAGGGCAGGGGGACACCCTGGACGGGATGCCAGTCCATCACAGGGCACAGGGCAGGGGGACACCCTGGACGGGATGCCAGTCCATCACGGGGCACAGGGCAGGGGGACACCCTGGACGGGATGCCAGTCCATCACGGGGCACAGGGCAGGGGACACCCTGGACGGGATGCCAGTCCATCACGGGGCACAGGGCAGGGGGACACCCTGGATGGGATGCCAGTCTATCACGGGGCACAGGGCAGGGGGACACCCTGGACGGGATGCCAGTCCATCACGGGGCACAGGGCAGGGGACACCCTGGATGGGATGCCAGTCCATCACATATGCTCAGACACTACAGGCATATTTAAACATACCAGTTAACCTAACTTGCAAGTCTTTGAACTACAGCAGGAATCCAGAGGACACCAATTGGGGCTCTGGACTGGATTATCCAGAGAATGCACATTAATCTTTGGTCTGTAAGCCACGAACCAAAATCATGGTAGCAAGCAGAAACCCCCTGAAAATCATCTCACGAGCCACCAATTGGAGACACTTACCTAGACGAATCCTGCACAACAGGGGAAACATGCAAATTAAGCAACCACACAAAATAAGGCTGGGGTTCGAACCCCAGCCTCCCTGAAGGTGTGAGGCAAAAGTGCCAACTGCTGATCCATGTGTTCAATCTGATGGAGTTCTCTGGACCGATGACCTTCTGCTAGGTATGATGTGTGGTACCAACGAGCCAATCATTCCATAACCTGCAGCCCGACTTGTGAAGGAGTGACCATGGCGACGCCGCCGTAGCAGGTCAGTCACGGCTCAGCATGGTCGCCGCACGGCTAGCGGTCAGCAGGAACCCGATGCGTGGGGTAGCGCGTCTGTCACCCTCCAAGGAAGCTCGTAAAATGGAGCCTGCAGGTTATTACAAGCTTATCAACTTATTTGTCAAAGATCCGGCTACCATTCAATCTGAGCAGTAGCCAACAGACATGAACCTCGGTACTCAGTCGCCAGTGGTTTTAATATGGCACCAATGTCCTGTGTCTTCCAGCTGTGACCTCAAAGGCATAACTGGGGATTTCATTGATTACTTTGAAATGCCACGTTCCCACCGGTATCCCCAGTTTACCTCCCACTGGAATATCAATGGAAAATGTCGACCTTCCAGGCTCGCCTCTATGCTACCAGACCCGCTGCACGTCCTTCGCTTGGCTCTAGAAATCGACAGACATCCATCAATGGCATTTGTCTACCATCTTGTGGATATTTTAAGAAGTGCCACAATCAGAAAGACGTTGCCACGGAGATGGAAATGCCAATCAAACCCTGTTGCACACCTCCAGCAGTATAGGGCGGGGCCCCCGGGGTGTTGCAGGGGAAGACTCTGGTAATATGTTGTGTGCACTGGAAAAAAAAATTGGAATTGAAAATTGAAATCAATGTTAAACTACTTTATATAGCAAAAATCTTAATCGTTTTCAGGTTGATTGAGATATTTTTCATATTCTCTGTCAGGGCACATGTAGAGTGGGCTAAAGCAGCCTGCACAATACAGTATATGGCAATTCTTGGGCTATATTCTGCGTGTAAAGCTTACTGCACTCATCCCTGACATTTCAAAGCTTTTTCCTTCCAGACAGACTCACCTCCCTCACTGAAATGGTAACTGCTGTTTTTTTTTCAGTGTGTGTGTGTGTGTGTGTGTGCATGTCTGTATTACCTCATGGAGACCAAATATTTGCCAGCCTATAATTACCTGTAATTGTAACCTTGTGTGTGACATTTTGTATTTTGTCTGGTTACTTATGATAAAGGTTAGAGCTCGGTAGGGGTTAAGGTCGCCATAAGTGGGAATAATGCCCACAGGAATGAATGGAGAGTCCCCACAAAGATATACACAATCTACACTAATATACACTATACACTAATCTGTGTGTGTGTGTGTGTCTGTGAGTGTGTTCAGGTTACTGTGATTTTTTTATCCCCCTTGCTTGGATGCTTTGGTTTGACCCAAAGGAGTACTTTGTCCAGAAAGTTTGAGAATCACTGGTCTAAGATATTTTATAATTGCAAGGGAAAAAAAAACACAATTATTTGGTATATCAGTTAAGAAAAGACAGCATTTGCAAGCAGGAAGCCCTTTATTGTCTCTTTCCATAGTGCTTTTTGTACAGTATGACATAAAGCTTTACAAAATTGAAAGACTATTTACAAAATCTCTCTCCACACTGGAAACGGCTATTTCACTCAGATCGCAGTCATGGGATATAAAACATGGACATGCAATGAAATAATAAGCTTTGGTGTGATGGGACTGTCATGGTTGCGATGCAGCTGTACACACAAACCCTGATGTGTAAGCATCTGTCTCTGCTATAAAGCTAATAAACGTTACCTTAAGTAACAAGCAAATCCTAGGCTTCTGAAATTCAGTTTGAAATTAATACCCAAGGACTCCAGCCACCAAATCAGATTTAATGCGTGATTTATCTGCAAACATTATTCCCTGTTGCCAGCATTACATTTAGTCTGTTACAATGTGCACTCTCAGGTAAAAAAGGGTAAACATTTGTACCTTGAACCCTCAAGGGTCCGCCAGTTGTACCTTTAGCTGTAGGTAAATGTACCTTTTAAAACTGAATTTTGGGAACGTTTCTGTACGATTGATGGTACATTAATGCAGTTTGTACCTTTGGGATGTTCCTCAGAGTCCATTTCTGTACCTTGAAAGGTAGAATTACAAGAGTACACAGTTTTGCCCATTTATCTGAAAGTGGGGTGGCAGTGAATTGGTTTCTGAAGGAAACTAAAATACGACACAAAATTTGTGTGAAGCTCCTCAAACGCACTAATACTGCAAAGACGTCCGTCAGCTTAGAAATATAAGCTCAAATGACACTATTCTTCCGGGTACCTTCCGTAATAAAGATCTCCTAAGCCCCTTATACATTCTTTTATTGGAAATTGATGGCTGACATCATCGAGTAAAGCCAAGAGTCTCACAACCGAAGAGCAAATTTGCAAAACTCACTCGGTCCACAGGAAACGTTTTCAAGAATATTTCTGGGGGCTTAGTGAGTTTTGGAAATTTTATAAAAGTTCCTTGCTGGGTTACATGAGGACTGAATGAGTTTTGGCTCCCAAAACTGTAACATATGATTACGAAGCCTTGGGTTTTATTCAAAGTCATTGGCAGTTTGAAACACAACACAAAATGGTCTGAGTGAATTTTGGAAATTTGCTCTTCAATTTAGGATCAATTCACTGGAATTCATTATATTTACATTGTTCCTCTACTATCCATGTTTAGTTGTACAAACTGTATTAAATTTCATAAAAGGCCACAGAGGTTGTTTTGTGTGTGTGTGTGTGTATGTGTGTGTGAGCGGGTTTACCTATCCTTATGGGGACACAATGTCCCCATAACGTGATAAATATCCGTTTTTTTTCCTTATGGGGACCGGTTTCCTGGTCCCCATAAGGGAAAACTCTATTTTATAAAAATCAGTGACTGCTATGAAAAAACTAAAAATGCAAAAACTCTTGTATTTTGTTTGGTTACTTATGGTTATGGTTAGAGCAGGGTAGGGGTTAAGGTTGTCATAGTTAGCGTTAGCATTTTTCCCATTGAAATGAATGAGCGGTCCCCATAAGGAAATGTTTACCCTACATGTGTGTGTGTGTGTGTGTGTGTATGTGTGTGCTCATAAGTGTGTGCAATTTTTGTGAGACATTGAACACATTTTGTAAGCAAGAAAGAAGCAGACAGATACCCAGACATCACACCATGGTCTTGGAAGTAGAAGCAGGTTCTAGGGTGGGTTTGCTGCTATTGCCAGTCTGAAGCTTGTAGCTGGTGAAGCTGGGCGTGTGTATGGTTCTGATGGTCCTGCCTCCCTGACCCAGGGAAGGAGGGGAAACTGGGGAGGAAGAGCAGGGCAGGCGGCCATTTTGGTTCTGCGATGAGAGGGAGGGGCTTGAGAGATGAAGAGAGCCATTGCAGGGGGAGGGGATGGAAGAGAGGGGTCGGTGGGCTTGTGGGGGAGGGAGGGATGACTTGGAGGAAGAAGGGGAGGGATTTAGGTTAGTGGCTTCGGAGTCGGCAGCGGAAGGAGGGCTGCTTTTCCCAGAGCTAGGAGAAAAGGCGGGGATCTTAGAGGGGGGGAAAGCGGGGGGGGCAGCTTTAGCGTCCTTAGCACCTCCGTTAGCCTGTAAACAGAGAGGCCGGGAGACAGGGGTCGTCACAACATGAGACACTTCCACACCATCGCTAACATCCAGAGGGAGGCGGAGAGCCCTGGGCACCTTCTCCAGCCGGGCGTGTGTGTGTGTGTGTGTGCGTGCGTGCGTGTGTGTGTGTGCATGCGTGCGTGCGTGCATGCGTGTGTGTGTGTGTGTGTCATGCAGGGGCGGTTTGCGAATTGTGTCAGACGTCCTGGGGAGGGGGGTCCCCTGGTGGGAAAGCAGACCATAATGTGGAAAAAAAAGTTGTCGACCAGGGGAGTTGGTGACAGTAGGAGTTGTTGAACGGGGGTGGGGGTGGGGGGGGGGTTTACTGAATCGCAAGATGGTCGTTTTAAAGGGAACCCCACAGGTGCATATAATTATGGGGGGGGGGCTTTGAGGTTTTATGAGAGTCCTGTGAACCCCCGGATCCCCCCCAATTCAAACACTAATTGAGGAGTTAAACTACACCCTGTAATTTAAGCTAAAGACTATGTGTCTATTCCTATCTAGGCAGTGCACTACTGAGGGCTTTATCAGAGTTGACAATGAATCGGTCCACTAAATTTCATGTATACAAAATGTGCTAGAAAAGCCCCTCAACCCCTCCCACCACCTTTCTCTCAAACAAATACATTTTATAATTTTCATCTGGCTGCTGCAGCCCTACCAACTGGTGGTTTGCGCGTTGTCATTATTTAACCAGCAGGGGGCGCTGGCTACAGTAAAACTACCTGTCGGATCTGCCTCGGAGGGTCCTGAAGCGCTTGTGGTTTCCCTGCTTTCTCTGCCACGGTGGGCGTTGTGCGATGCTTGCCGTTGTTGGCTGTCTGCGTCCGACTCGTGGAGGAGGAACCGTTCTGTATAAGTCAGGAACAAGGGAAGTGGGAAAGATGCATGTCAGAGGTCATGTAACCATGCCACAGCGTTTAAACATCTCAGATTTATTTTCAAGATATACCAGTAAAGAATAGTGCATGCACCAGTACACCAACAATAGAGGATTCGCCACGACTCATGCACTAAGGTCACATGACACCCAGACTTAAAAGAATGATTCGAATGAATTCAGACATTTAATCATTTGTCTGCCCAAAATCCCAAATTAAAACAAGAAATGCAGAAAAAAACAACAGCAACCCACAGTGGAAATCCCGAATTGAACCGGATCGTGATTACACAAATGATTAAAGAGGCCTGCCATCAGTGCCCAGCACCTGAAATTACACACAATGATAAAAGAGGCCTGCCATCAGTGCCCAGCACCTGAAATTACACACAAATCATTTGTGGTGCACCAAAGGTGAAAGACCCAAGAGACCAAGCCAGCGACGAAGTGAGAAGAGCTTAATGGGGACACCTGCTGGCTGTGGGTGGCACTGCGAGGAATGACCGCTGGCCGGGGATGAAGCTGTGGTTTGGGTCGCTTGTGGCGTGGAGCCTTGGGAGCCTGGCAGCTCAGAGGGACTCCTCTGTCCCCCTGCTGTCCCCCATCTTTGATTACAGGCTCCTTTGACTGAACCAAGTAGGTCTTGTGTTCTTCTACGCCTGGCCCCTCAGCTGCTCTGAGACTCAGGCCACTTACTGATGTTTCCTGTTGCTGGAGATCAGTCCTTGTGGATGTTTTCTGCTCACTTTCATCCATCCGGTGTTGGAAACTGGAGGAGGTCGGCTGAAGTTCCTCTGTCCTCACAGAGCTGATTATGGTTGTACTATTGTCTACTTGGACTGTTCTGCACCCAATTTCAAATCTCTTGGCTTCCTTAAACTGCTTCACTGTCCCGTCTGGCTCCTCCTCATCTTCGTAAACTACCACCTGAAGCGTTTTCTTGCCCGTCTTCGTTCCCGTGCGGATGGCTTGGCTGAGAGCAGACAGCTTCTTTTTGGGGAACTTGAGCTTGAACTTCTTCTTGAGGTCCAGCTTGCCGTCGTTCACTGGCTCTGCATCCAGTTCTTCAGCTGACGCTGAAGGTTCCCCAGATGGGCTGTGACTGCGCGCAGTGACTTTGCGTGACCCGCGATAGTTTGGGGGGTGGGCTACCCGAGTGGCACCTTGCACTTCATCGACACTGGATTTTACCTGGACGACACGTCTATCCAGTTCTTCTGCCATCTTTGTGCTCTTGTGTTCATCCAACATCCTGTCTAGTTCCTCCTCGCACTCAAATATTGTAGAGAGTCGGTTGTAGGCCGTCCGGATGTCCATGGGCTCGTCGAATATGATGATCACTGGTTTCTTCCCGAGCCCACTCTCCTCTTCGGCGGTCATCTGCCGGCTCTCACCCACCTTGATCGTCTGAACGTTTCCTCCCGTCGTGCTCACGATCTTCTCATACTCCCCACACGAGAGAGCCTGGACTTCGGTGTCGGTGATCATGAAGGCGATGTTGTCAGAGGCGGGTGAAGATTCCTCGCTAGCGGGTGCCGGGCTCGTGGAAGCCTCGTCAGCAAGCTTTACCCTAGCTTTGGATGACCGTAACACTACTGCCTGGTCTCCAGCAGCAGGCTCATCCAGACTATCAGAAGCATCTTGGTCCACCGTGAGCTTCTCCCTAACTACCTTGGCACCTGCCCACGGAACTCCTTCCTGAACAAGTTTGGGCGCTAGCACCTTGTTGGCAACATTTTGAACAGGCATATTTTCGGCCACCACTCCTCTTGGAACAAGACTGTCTGGATTTGGGTCCTCCAGGGCCCCGCGGTTTTCGGTCAGTGGCTCTGCTGCAGTGGCCGACTGCTGTAGCCCTGGGGAGGTTCTGTAAGCGTTTGCACTCTGAACCTGAGAGGCGGGGGCTGCTCCTTCTCTCCGACTGATTGGCTCATCTGCTCCCGGCGAAGGCGGCTGATTGGATATCTGTCCTGTGACGTAATACAGTACCTGTAGAAGTGGTGAGTCGGAGAAATATCAAATGGTGAATATGCCTCTGAACACAGAAACAAAATGACAGTGGAGAGCAGACTTCGGAAAGTCAGCATACCCTTGCAGCATGTCGAGCTGAGACGCTTTCGTTGGTTTCCAGTTCCTTCTCTTTGCACTGGAGCCCCACATTCTGCTACGACAGGACATGAGTTCTGCATAAAATTCCTCCTTGGGGGAGATTTTACTCTCACTAGGAGAGGCTCACCCGCCCCCACCAGATCACGGGAATAAATCACCACTCAGTTATACGAAAAAGTTTTTAAAAACCAATCGTAATTACCTTAGATCATCAGCTGGCAATTTGAAAATCAGATATTTTAATATTTTATGTTAATCTCTTCCGTTGATAAAAAAGCAGAGGAAAGATATTAACATATTTTAAAAAGCTATGGCATGTGTTGACTGATGTGACGAATAGTACGATGCGCTCCGTTTTTAAGGAGGACCACCAGCTTGTGTCCTGAGGCTTGAGAAGTCCAAAGAGGTGGCAGGGCTTAACGGTGTCAGTGGACAGTGACTAAACTATAAGGTGGAAGTTACCACCAAGCTCAGAAATCATGCTGGAAGTTATGAGAGGAGAGGGATTAGGAGAGACGAAAAGAACCACGCAACCTGGAAGAAAGATCTGAAGACGATGTGGAGGAACTGAGGTGGAGAGGAAAATGGGGCATCCCTGACACAGCTTAGGAGAGAGAAAAGCCACCAGAGCCAATGCGACTTGGATAGACAGAACCACTTCATAGACAAACTGCAACACTCTTATCTGATGTTTTCCAGCAACCTTTTTTAGCAACTCAGATATAAATACTTGGACTGAAGACAGATTCTAACATCACCTGCATAATAAGGAGGAAAAGCTTGACTGTGATGACTTTCCTTTACTGTTCTGTTTAGCTTGTTAGTCCTTGATTGTTTTTAACTCTCTGTGTATTAAAAGCAGATCATGTTTACAATCTCCAAAGCAGACCGCAGAGTCATTTAAATCTCCTACAAAATTCAGGTTTTAATGAAAGAATAAAGAACCGCAGAGCAAAGAATGCGAGATCTGATCTTCACTTTGTTCAGCCACAAGCAATATGGGTCAGTTTCATTTGTAGGCGAGATACCAAAAGACCTCAGATTCGCATCAACGTGACCTGTAAAATTTTTGATTGCTCATTTGTGTTTTGGTTTCCACACCATAGTTTGGAACGTAAGAAGTTTAATAAGACACGTGTTAGACAAAGAGCATTCCACAGTCTGTTAGCGTTATCAAGTTAGCGTTGGTGTGAGTGGCAGGCCAGGTTTGAGGGTGCATTGACTGGGGAGTGTGGCCAGGGCATTGGGGGCGGGGTTTGGTGGGATGGGTGGGGTTTGTGGGGGTGGGTGGGGTTTAGTGGGGATGGGAGGAGTTTGTGGGGGGTGGGCTCGGATAGGACAGGGCAGGTGTTAAGCCTAACAGTATGTGCCAATGGGCCATCGAGGGCCAACTACGATGCCCCTGCTTGCCTCAGTTACCTTTTTCTCTCCAGGTGGCACGGTGCCCCCGGACCACTGATCTCTGACTCGGGGCTCAGCCAAACACTTGGCCCCTACATCCTTAACTGTGCACTTCTGGAAGACCTGAGGAACCAAAGGTGTGCTGAACATTAGAGCGGTATCACACTGGTATGACTTGCAGTTTACTGCATATTGCAGCGTAAATGCTGTGTAAATGTGTGTTGTGGTACTGAAAACCTGAGTTTCAATGGGGATCTATCTATCTATCTATCTTATACAGTTGAATCATTGCTCTTATTCAGACTGTCACCCATAATTTCTTAATTGCTGACTAGTGATGTTCAGAACTCAGAGTAATTGGAGTTGACATCTGAAAGTCATCAGTGGAGATTTTTGGGATGTCAGTAATCCAACAGAGAAACTAGCATCATGGGTGTTTTTTGCTGGGCCAGTGGCATGCAGGTGATACTGGTTGAGTTGAACTGTGTTGCAGTTTCCCAGGCCAAGTGGCTCCAAAGGCAGGAAGAGTCCAACCCGCAGGAAGGACGGGAGCCCATCACCAGTCTGTGTCAGACCCAATCAGTGCGCGTGTGAGCGGCTGTGGTTCCCCATGCTGAGCGCCGCACCCTCACGCACCTGCAGTTCGGCCATGATCCTGTCGCCGTCGTCTTCCTCCTCTTTGATGGCAGAGGCCACAATGGGAGGGGGGGTCAGGGGTGGCGGGGGGGTCTTGTTGGGTTTGGGGAACGGTGGCGGCGACGCGTCCTCTACCGCCCCCTGGTGGAGGGAGACACCCTCGCTCTACATCACCTCATACGGCAGTTAAGCAGTGCTGCCCAATTGTTCAGGATATTTAAAGGTTAAAAGGTACAACGGCAGCTCCACTTCTGGGATTTACACCTGCCACCTGGTTGCGATGGGTCTGCTTTGATACCTCCCTGCTCTCTCATCCCCTGCCGCCCAGCTGGTGTGGGGGGGTATATTTACCTGAGTCGTGGTGGACTCCTTCCTGGTGGTGTAGATGACCTCCCCCGATCGCCCCGTGGTGAGACCAGTGCTGGCGGGGTGACTTCGCCTGGGTGGGGGGGGTGGGGGGGACTTGCTCGGCGTCTGAGGTCCCTGGGTCTCTGGGGGCGTCCCGGCCGGGGGCTCCAGCGGCGAAGCCTCATCTGTGCCGAGACAAGCGGCAAACGCACCGGCGTGCACAGACACACAAACGACTTTAAGAAATGGCTCACTCCAGCAACGAGTCACGTTAAAATGAAGTTCTAGACAGTACACCAGAGATCCACTGACGTTTCAGCCTGAGAATGAACCATCTAAACCACAAAAACTAGTGAGAAATGGATCTGCATTAAAAAAAAAAACCTAATTCTGCCAAGACCAAACCCACAGGCAGTGTAACAGCTTGAGGTCTGCGCACATCCAGCACATGTGACCACGGACTGCAGACGATCAGCCTCAGCTAAGTCGGACTGATGCCAGCCCCCCGAATATGTCCGTCTGTTCAGCCGAAACTTCATCTTTCCTGTGAGGCCTGCGTTCATTTACATGTATTTATTCACCAGATACTTGTGTCCAAACTGGTGGACAAAAGCTCTTTTGGGGCACAGTCAAGGCTGTGTAGGTTTTAAATAAAAGGGGGGTGGGGGTGATACCAGATATGGTCTCCAAATTCATGTTAACCTAGAGTAGTGTTTCGCAAACTGATCCTCAGTGACCCCAGACAGTCCATGTTTTTGCTCCCTCCCAGCTCCCTGCCAGACAGTCCATGTTTTTGCTTCCTCCCAGCTCCCTGCCAGACAGTTCATGTTTTTGCTCCCTCCCAGCTCCATGCCAGACAGTCCATGTTTTTGCTCCCTCCCAGCTCCATGCCAGACAGTCCATGTTTTTGCTCCCTGCCAGACGGTCCACATTTTTGCTCCTGGTCTGTCTGGCAGAGACCTGGGAGATAACAAAAATGTGGACCGTCTGGGGTTTCCCCGAGGACTGGGTTGAGAAACACTGACCTAGAGTATAAGCAGTATTATCTTACCTGCCGGTGAAGACGCTGATTGGGGCGTGTCTGTTCTCTCCTGTGATGGGAGGGGGGTGACTTCTGGCCTCTCCTCCTTGCCTGTCACCTCCAGGCTTGGGATAGCCATCATCATGGTGGCCTGCGCCTCTTGGAGCATCTTATCAAATTCTGATGTACGCTGGTGCTCCGCCCACTCTTTCTTGGCAGCCTATGGGGACGGGTGGGCGGGGCATTGGCAAGACAGAAATTAGACAGTGCTTTCCATCAAGGAAGAAAGTTTCGTTTCTGCTTTTCTGTCTGTTCATGTCCAGGGGTCTGGCTGCTGGAGTATTTCCTTGCCTCACTGTGCAGGATCTCCATAGCGATCATCATATCTACACAGGTTCTGAAGTATCTGATGTGGTGGGAGAACCTACCTCTATGGACAAGGCCCTGGACTTGGCCGTGTTCCTGCTCCCTCGCGGCTGTACGATTGGGCCGTTGCGGTCGTAATGACCTCGCCTCTCAGACTTGGGGCTGCACTCCTGGCTCTGTGGATCTTGGCTATGGGGTGGTGTAGGCGGCGGACTCGGGAGACGGGACAGGGCGACGGACTGCTGAGACCGCTGCACCTGGACCGGGGAGCTGCAGGCTCGATGGATCACGACAGGGCTGGTGGGCACCACCTCCGAGTGGACAGAGGAGCTCTGGGACTCAGGGAGAGGACTCTGCGAGTCCCGATCCACGGGTGGCTGAGGGGCGTCTAAGACCACGATTGGTTGAGGAGACTCTTTAACTGTGATTGGTTGAGGAGACTCTTGTGACACGAGTGGTTGAGGGGCCCCCTGTGTTGCCATCTGTGACGGCTTTTGCTGGGTGACGACTGGTGGTGTCGGCTCCGGGGCCTCTACTGTTAGAAGAGGTGTCTTCAGACCTGTGAGTGGTTCAGATGTGATTCCCATGGTGACATCTACTGGATGGACTCCAACCACTTTGGGCTCTTCAAGGTGGTTCCCTGAGACATGACTGCAAAACACATGCACACACACTAATGCATAAAATGCCTCAATGCAGGGCACAGGGTGAAGGCCACGTTCTTCTGTAGGACAGTCAGTAGAGTCTGGCAGAGATTCCTACCTCCTCAGGCAGCCCAGTGTCTCCCTTAGGCTCCTGACCTTCTTAAGCATGCTATCCAACTTGTGAGGCTCCTCCTTCAGGAAGCGCACAGCCTCCACCTCCACCCGCAGCACGGCCCGCATCCTGCCCTGGAGGGCCGGGAACTCACCTGGGGGGGGGGGAAGGGCAGAGTGCAGGGGACAGCGGGTCAGGAGGCTTAGCCAAACACCCCCTCCGTTCATCCACCGTGGGACGTGCTGCTGTTATAGCAACCAAATCCAGAAGTGGCAGAACAACACCGCTCACACCTTTAAGCGCCTTCAGGGCGTCGGCCACTCTTTGCAGTCGGGCAGCGGCGTCATCCAGGTCCCGGAGCGTGATTGGCTGTTGAGCAGACCCGGGGGCGGGGTCCCGCTTCAGGCTGCCCACATATTGGTCCAGCTCCCTGTCAGATGTTAATGTAAACCAAAAATTCAGTTCACCCATCTAAGTGACATCTAAGCTTAGTAGCTAAAGTAAGTTTTTTTATTTGTATGTTTATAGGTATATATATATATATATATATATATATATATTTGTTATAGTGCTAAAAACCATTTTAGATAGGATACAGCACAGCAAGTCCTGGTGTTTTCTGCAGTCATGGAATGGCAATGTCTATGGTCTATTTGTGAAGAGAGGAGTGAAAGCTTAAATTTGAATACTACAAAGTCTGCATAGACAAAAGACTCACTGTCTTCCCACTGTTTCCACGATTTTGTCTCAGTTTTCGCTCCTTACCCCAGCTGTAGCTGGATACTCTCTTCCACATCGAGGTATCTGTGCCTCTCGTCCTCCACCAGCACCCGCTGCCTCTGCACCGGCTCGTCTGGAAGCCTGGTCACCATCGCCATCTTGTGGCTGATCTCCTGCTCTGCATGCCTGAGCATCAGCTTCAAGGAATCCAGGTTCTGAAGCTGTCAAGTTACACACATGGGCGGCGGTTTAAAAAGTAAACGCATAATGAGAAGATGTGGAAGGAGTGGAAGATCTTCCAGATGTAAGTTGAGGGACCGACAAGTATGTAGCGGGCTTACAAACCTCAGGTTAATATCTGCAACGAATAGCCCAACCTGAAGATGCAGAGGTCATTCTAATCTAGAGGCTACCAACAATAACCTCAGCAAGGAGCAAACTGAGAATCCGTCTAACGGCAGCTGTATGCGCAAGGTGAGCAGATGGGAGCACCTGCAGTTGCCGCATCTCCTGCAGCTGCAGCCGCAGATCTGAGACACTCTTGCTGAAGACAGCCAGGCTGGCACGCAGGTGGGTGGGGCAGGTGGGTGTGACCTGGGCATCAGCCAGGGGGCCTTGGCTCCCAGTCACAGAGAGAGGTGATCCACCTGGAAAGTGAGAGAAGGCCGTACAGTCATTGACAGCAGATACCCTGCTTATGGGTGCATGGATCTTATTGGCTTATTGGTGACTGATGTCGCTCCATAACCACCAATGGAAAGGCAGCTAGAAATAATGCTACATACAGGAAGGACAGAAACAAATAATAATAAACTAGAGAAATGTCATCCAAAACCAATATACCCAGCGATCAGCCATGGTATTCCCCGTATTTGCTAAATTACAGTGAAATCCCTCTAAAAACTAAGAGAAAATTATGTGCCTTGACCCATAATTACCAAGTACTTAAAAAGTCAAATGTAAAGCACTTTTACCCTCCTCATGGCCCAAGGATACAGTTGATGTCTATAACTCATTATTGAAACTCATAATTATTGCAATGCTTGCGTTTTTGTGCTCAGTAGCTCACCAGACTGAGGGTATTTTATTTAAGACTATCGGCAGTGACTTCAGGCAAGGAAAAAGAGAAAAGACCTCCAAAATGTAACAAGCACTCACGATCTTTTATTTCTCACCGGTTGCAAGAATTTCGTTAAATTGTGTTACAGTATAAATGGACCTTAGAGAGACTTGCCTTGAAAATCACCTGACCATAACATGCACCTTAGCTGACCATCGACTCCACCTGCAAAGGTCACCTGCTGTCACCTTGCATCCTCCCCCGGGACACTCACCTCCACCGTCCGCACTGGGAACATCAGATGCTGCCTTAGAAGGCTTCTCGCTGAAACAAAAGACCAAGGGGGACAACAGGTCACAGGTCTTGGCAGAATTCAGATCACCTTCGTGCATCTAACACATAACCGAATTAAGTTGAAGATAAGTAGACACGTTAGCTTGTTAATCAAACCTAAACTTATCCTACAGTTGTTACTGGTTAAACTGGATGAAGTAATACAACCCAGAAAACCCACTGCTGCTCTGGAAACCTCAATCAAATGACTTCTGAGCTTCAGCCCTACGCCGTACACCAGCCTCTCAGTTATGCTGTATAGCTGAAGGCTTTTTTTGAAAATCTTATAAGACTTACTTTGACTCTGGTTTTGAGTGGGATTTCTGTGGGCTGTCAATCACTGTCATAGTTATCCCAGAGGGCACTAAACAATAATCACACCCACCGGGGTTGTAAAGCTTTATTCATTCCATTATATCCACTGTATCCACAGTTGAATTTCTCAGCTGGAGCAATTCAGGTCAGGCACCTTCCATCCATGTCATGTCCATGTTATTACCCATCATGCTCGCTGTTGCTCGGCGTCCATATTTGATCCCCAAATGGCTTATCTCAGACCATTAGCTAAATATTTCATGTCTTACCCGTTGGCCTCTTGGGCGGTACCAGGACTGGGTCCAATCAGAAGTGCGTGTTGGACCAGGCCGGTTAGACTGGCAATCTGCTGCTCCATAGCCTTCATCCGCTCCCTGCAGAGAGCGAATCAGCTCACTGACGGACTAGGGCAACCACCACACAGGCAGCTAACTGACCAAAGACAGGCTGGAAGCCATGTTCAGCTCTAAGAATGATTTTAGGGGAAATAGCAGTCTGACAGATCAGATATGGAAAATTCACAAACAGCGATCGCTTTCGGTGACGGTGCAATAAAACCACAATTAAACTTCTGGTTAGTCAGCCCATTGGTTTCATTCGACTTCAAGAGCGGCATGCATATGGGTGCAGCTGGCCAGAATATGGACAGGACTGCATGCTGCAACTTGGCATGTCTGTGCCACGTTCCTTCAGCGTTAATCACAGGGAGAGCAGATCTGCGATCATAACGCACAGCCGACCCGCGCCGAGCCGTTACTCGCCCTGCAATCAGTGACAAGTCATATCCAGTCTGCTTTCTTTCCATATTCTTTTATTCCAACAGAAAATGCCCTCAAGACCAGGCTGGTAAGCCCAGACTTTTACATTTTACGTTCCTCTAAAACCGCTGCAATTAAAACGCAAGCCACAGCCCTCAGTTAGGGTCTGAAGCATCTCTTTTCCACTTTTTGGAAACACAAACTGCAACTGTGACATGATATAGCGATCGGGGTCTTAGCCAAAAGGGGACAAAGGCCGACTCTCATCAAAGGAAAAGGGCTTTAAACAAACATTTCACTTTGAAATGTACCGGAAACCTAGGATGAAAGTGTCTTTTTTCTATAATGTCTGCAGGACAAAAATATACTGAATCAATATATTTTTTTTTTATACGTTTTTTTTTTTTTTAACCAATATAAGGGTAGAAGGGTTAATATTGAAAATATGGAGGAGATGTTCTCCTGAGCCCCTCCGTGGAGACCTGAGTGTGTTTCCTGCAGGTGGCCAGACAAAAAGCCGGCTCCACCCAGGACCCCCCCCCCCTGCGCTTGGCCCCCTGTAACGAACACCCGTCTATACCTCTTCCATCTCTCTCCAGACCTGGCGGGGAGGGGGGGGGGGGCCCTAGCAGAGAAATGCCACCTTCTGGTGGCGCCAAGAATGGCTCGTTTACGTCACTTCCTGTCAGTACCCATGCCAACGTAAGGGAAATGTAACTAAGAAGGGCAGCTTGTTTTTGTGTGCGAAGGAGGATGAGTGAATTGGGGGGGGATGTATGAAAGGAGCTCACTGTTTGCCTTTGAAAGGCCACATTGACAGTACTCAGGCCACATTGACAGTACTCAGCCATACTGCGCTCCTGGGCTTCTAACTCTGTCATGGAATCACCCAGTTCCTTTAATTTCTGCATAGCCTGTGAGGTAAAAACAAAGCCTTTGACATACAAGAATCTCTCTGTATTGTCCTTACTAGACCAGACTGAGACAGTACTATAGTGTACTGCGCCACTGAAGAATATCTCAGGTATCTATGGGCATGTCAATAAGACAACTCAGCTTCCTGGAAAACACCCTACACTTCCTGGAAAATACATTAAGCTTCCAGGAAAACACCTTAAGCTCCCTGGAAAACACCTCCCACTTCCTGGAAAACACCTTAAGCTTCCTGGAAAACACCTCCCACTTCCTGGAAAACACCTCCCACTTCCTGGAAAACACCTTAAGCTTCCTGGAAAACACCCTACACTTCCTGGAAAATACATTAAGCTTCCTGGAAAACACCCTACACTTCCTGGAAAATACATTAAGCTTCCTGGAAAACACCTTATGCTTCCTGGAAAACACCTCTCACTTCCTGGAAAACACCTTATGCTTCCTGGAAAATACCTCCTACTTCCAGGAAAACACCTCCCACTTCCTGGAAAACACCTTAAGCGTCCTGAAAAACACCTGCTAAGCACGGCCTGTAGTACCTGGTCTGAGGATCTCCAGCTGTTGCCACGGACTGATCACAGTTGGGAGCTGCAACCACGCCAGGCCGCGACTTGACCCCCCCTTCCATGGAACTGTCCCTCCTGAGGGACTGACGACTTGGGGCAGCCCTCTCCAATGCCCCCACCTGATGGGGCTGGTGGAGCTCCCGGTGTCTCGCGTCTCCAGGCTTGTGAGGGGATGCGGGGGGTGTCCTGGACGCCAGTGGTGGCAGCTGGCTGTCGGCATATCTTCTGGACCTCTGCCTGTATAGGCAGGGGTGTTCAGCAGCTTCAGGAGCCACGGCTTGGCCTAGGAAAGGACCGCCAGCCAGGGGCCGGTGGTGGTGGCTGTTTGGGTGCTCCACCCCCTCAGGCACAGTGCTCAGTGCGGCGCCAGAGTCCTCGTCCGGCTTGACATCCCTCCGTTCCAGGATGGCGCTGGGGCACGGCTGTGCTGGCATCGCCGGGGGGGCGCTAAGGACACGGTCCCTGGGGAGAACTGGGGCGGTGTTGCTCCGGGGCCCAAACGGAATGCGGGTGAGTGATGAGGAGGAGGAAGAGTGCGCAGAGTGAGCTGGGATGGGAGTGGGGAGGGACTGCTGTCTCAAAACCTGGTGCCCCTCCCTGCCAACAGGCTGTACCTGCAGGTGGGGGGGGGAAACATGTCAGCACAGAATCAAGCATTCCTTATCAGATTTAATCTTAAGGTAGGAGCCAATGGGTGAGGAGAATGATTCATAGGCTGTGGGGGGGCCAATAGGCTGGCCACTGGAAGTATTTAATTAACCATTAATTACCACTATACAACTTTAAAATTGCTTATGGAAAACAGATGGATAATTAGCTGTTGCAGGCTATGCTAATGCTACTGCACTAAAGCTATGTGGCGCGACGGCCTGAGGGGGATCCGGCTCACAGGATCCTCTTTGCTGAGGACCCGAGCGGCTGGACCAGGCCGAGGGGACGCCCACGTAACACCTGGCTGCGGCAGATGGATGGGTATTTCCGGAGGGTGGGGCTGGGGGGTCGCTGGCCGGGTTCCCGAGGAGTTTTGGCGTGTGGTGGGTGCGGCAACGCGCTACATCAGCGCCGGCTCCCCAACCTGACCTCACCTAAGGCTATGCTAATGTGAACAGGGTATAGTAAGGCTATGCTAATGTGAACAGGGTATAGTAAGGCTATGCTAATGTGAACAGGGTATAGTAAGG